ATTTATAATGATTCATAGAGATTCCTTGAGAGGATTAATTTCCTCGTAAAACTAGGAGAATCCTAGAGGAATATTTAAGATTAAGTTCACTTTCCTAAGACTATGATTACTTGTGGCAACCTAACCAATCCCATTTGATCCAAAATTTCTCAAATCCTAAGGATTCCTTCCTAATTAGAGTTTAACTAGGTTTTCCGTACCTGAGCGACAAGTAATTATACTTAAACGAATTGGCCCGTTATCACCTAAAGCCTCTTGAACCATCTAGAGTATGCCCGAAAAGCAATTAATGGGGCAACACATAATTGGTTATTGTGGCAACCCAAAATCGAGTCATCAACAACAAAGGGTAAGTGAGAACATCCGTCAATCAAGTGCATGACCCAATAGCAGATTAGGAAGCTTTGTATTGATTAGGATGAGTCCAAGGAATAACTTAATAAGTAGGGACGAGACTCCAATGATGTTCCATTCTTGAGATACGTACCTTACGGATTTTAAGTCCTAAATTATGTTCCTAGCCATAAGTCCTAAATTATGATCAAAATGACTATCGAACGTCCGCAAAGGCCGGTTTATGTCGTATTCAGTAGTGAATCTCAGACTAAGCATGTAGAGACATGGAACAAACATAAAGGTGCTCATCTATGAGATCGAGTTCACTGAATATTGACTAACCATAGAAGTGTACAAATAAAAGTTTACCCTGTCAATCATACCACACTTTTGAGTTATGAATGCAACTAGTTCTTAGATTCAAGGTGTCAATAGTTATCTTGTGTTTATGAATGTGATCTTTTGTCTCACATCAAAGCTCTAAAAACAATAGCGGATTCCTAAAATGTGAGGTTCGGGATAATGTACACCAACATAGAGATATGTGAATGCACAACGAAGAAACTGTCACCTCTAGGTAATCATGAAGATTGATGTTACAATAGCCTCTTAACGATCTATCTCCATAAGTCTTTGGCCAAAGCAACGTATTGGAGATACATCAGGGCTATCATATTTATGTTTAGAGTTTGACAAAAGTTCCATGCTCTAAAATATATGATTGGAATATAGTACTCAGAAGAACCGAATTGCATTGTAACTATAACTAAGGTTCTAAATATGTGTTATATGAATTCAAGCATATTCTGACTAATCTGGATAGCCGAAAACTATTGCTAGCTGTTAATGTTCAGTTTTGGATATTCTTACAAGGTTGAAATATAATAGTTTCTAATTATGTAAAATTAGATTAATTAGATTAATCAAATTATGTGAACTTTAATAAAATAAGGCAACCTAGTTCGAAAAGAGAGACCGAATTTATTAAATAAATAAAATATGAGTGAATTGGGCTAAAGCCCGGTGGTAAAGGGGGTGTGTGGCAAACCCAAATGAAGTGTCTCCTAGGGCATGCGGCACATGTGTGGTGGAGGATTAAATTGTAATCCTACTGGCTTACAGAATTGTTCTACATATAAGCATAAAGTGTCTTTAGATCAAGTGTGGATTTTACATATTGTGAAATAAAAAAAATTTAGAGAGAAGGGAATTCAAGTTTTCCAATTTGGAGAAATCGAAAATAAAACATCACACAACCCCACCCTTGCCGCCTCACCTATTGGAGGAGAAGAACCTAGCGGTTTGTTGTCTTCCTGCTTCACCAGCCAGAGATTTATTCGTGTGGATGCTCGTAGAGGGCTAACACTTGGGAGCCTTAACAATGAATTCATCCTCATATGAAATCTAAGGGTTGGAATTCTAAACTTAATTTGAGGTTTTGCATGTGTTCTTAAAATTGTTTTGCATGAACACAAGCATGTCGACTAACCTACATTACGTGGATTAATTTAATAAGATTAAACATAATCCAACGTTCCGCTAACCATGCATGTAAATTGGATTATATACAGTTATGTCACGTTATCGTGCTTTCGTACACATGTACTAGCGTAGTCCACAACCTGACAAATTTATGGGCATGGTCGGTTGAGTTATGCCATCTCTTCCTACACATGCGGAACAACCAAGTCTACCTCAAACCAACTCGCATGCCATGTGTCAGACCCATAGTCTGAAATATCGATAATATTGACGAAATATCGAGGATATTTCGGTTTTTTTGAATCACGGATATTTCAGACCATATCCATGTACATATCGTACAAATATCGACAATATCGACGATAATATCTGAAAATATCGATGTCAATAATTTCGCTCACACTTCAGTAATATTTTGTCAAAATATCGGTGTAATATCGCTAAAATATCAAAAATATCGATGTAAAGGAAGGAAAAAAAAAAAAGAAAAAGAAGAAAAAAAGGGAAAAAAGGGAGGAAAAAAAACACAAAGGGGATTTGAACCCCTCCCATTTTACTCCTCCAACACCTTAACCACGATATATCACTTATGTTTTAGTGACTATGTGCTAAAATATTTATATTTATATGAGTGGCATGTTAACAATTACATGCAAAACTATTTTGGGGATTTATCATTTGATGAATACTCTTCACAATAAACTTACTCTACACATAGAGATGATGAAGATAGTGAAAAATTTGAACCTCATAGGAACTTAATGTGGTACTAAATCACTCATGTATCTTACCATGCAATGTATAAAGTGTAAAATATTGTAGTAAATCATTATATATAAATGATTATGGTGTGTTTAATCTTTTTTTCATTAATTACTACATATTTTCTACACTCACAGTGTTTGCCAGCTCGCTGTATAATCAACTTAAAATCCATCATATAATGCATTTCCTTCTAATTTTTTTTGATAAACTAATAGATAATTGACTAAATAAACATTCTCCAAAGTTTCAATAAAAATTTCCAAGTTTTCTTACAATTTCCATGGTTTTTATTCAATTTTTATCGATATTGATAATATCCTGATATTTCCATCGAAATTTCCATGTTTTTGGACTACCGATATTTCCGATATCATCGATATTTTATACCATGGTCAGACCTTCTGTAAATTGAGGTCTTACAAAACTTACACACATTTTAATTTGTTATATGTCCAAATCGCAAAGAAGGCCCTAATCCTGTTCAAAATCAGTTACACAAAGTATTTAAATTTTATTAAGAGAACTTCAATGATTTTACAAAAGATGGTAGCACTTAGGTCAGTTGATACCAAAAATATAATTTGATACCACTTGTCTGATCAATGACCAAAGATTATTAAAAGTCTAAATTAACCCTAAATACAAGTCATGCAATTAAAGTGCAACGTACAATTTATATGAAAGTTATCAGAACTACAAATTAAGAATTTCAAGATTCAGATGATTGTGGGGAACAAATTTCACACAAGGGTAGAACTACTATGGTGTACATGCAACCAAAAAAGACAAGACAAGTGAGATCTTGTCGCATCGATGTGGTGTGAACCAAAGGCTCTTCATGCCTGAATTAGACTTAATTGTAGGAAGAATATCAAGCTATAGTCCACAAGTATTTTGGCTAAGGAATAATTACCTTTTCATGGAAATGATCATGCTTTTATATAGGGGCATGCAAGGGCTTGAAGATGATTCATTAGGTCTCGCATGACGCTACCTAAATGGTTGGATTGAACCCCACTTAGTCCCGCCCATTTCGCCAACAACAATTGACATGGGAAACGTGATGAAGGGCACCAGTGAAGAGTTTCATTTAGGGATAGTTCTTAACAGCATCAGTGATTGTGAGCTATGTCTACGTCATGATTATAGGGATGACTATCCCTTGAAAATTCTACTGGATCTTACCTTATATAGCCTTTCTAGGTCTAATCTCATTTGTGAGTCCAACTGGGCTCACAAGATCCTTTTTGGGCCTTGCATGGCCAATTGAGCCCAACTACTCTGTTGAGTGGGTGTGGCCCGACACATCATTTTATGTGAGTCGATCACATGTGACATGGAGAACACGTTGACCTTGCACCTCTACTAGACGTAATTTATGGGGAGACGTCCCCTCCTCCATTAATTCTTAACCCTTGCAAAAGTTAAGGGTTGGTGAAATTTTAGGAGTAACTTGACTCTGCTTTAGTACACGTGGCGTCCCTTCTAGTGCCAGCAAAATTTGTTTACCACATTGACAATTTGCTTAAAATTCTAGTGTAGATGAAAAATAAAAAATGGTACCAATGAAGGTTGGTCAGAGTGGATGCAGAAGCAAGTGGTCTCGGTTTCAAGCCCTTGTGGATGTAGAAAACTTTCTTGGGAGAGGTCCCCGCATATGCGCCCGACGGTACCTCGAAGGATTAGTCCTAGGCTTTGCCTGGAGACACCTTGGGAAACCCAAATTAAAAATAAATAAATAAATAAATAAAAACGGCGTATAAATTATATGACATTTCAAAAAAAAAATACTAAAATAAAAGTACTTATAAAGGCCCTATTCCTTAAGACCTCAACTTTGTTCATCTTTGTTTAGTCAAAGCTACATTATCTTCATGACTGATTGTAGTTGTTCCTTGTAGATAAGTAACAAGTTTCCCTACATCATCTTCATGATTGATTGTAGTTGTTCCTTGTAGATAAGTAACAAGTTTTCCTTGGCCTCCAAGCTCCAGTCTGGAATCACGCCAATTTCTTCTTTTTTTTTTTTTTCTTTTTTTTTGTACATCAATATATTTTTACACTAGAGAGAGAAGGGAATTCGGCTAAGTTACACAATGAACAACCTAATTTAATATCGAATTCGCCATTCACGAGATTCAAATCTAAGACCTCTCACTTCCAAGCACAGAAAAATAGCACCAGACCGTAGTATTGAGTTGTAGGACACACCAATTTAAAGAGAAACTTTGAAGGTATATGTTTTCAAAGTTTAAGAGAAACTTTTAAGGCTCTATTGTCTCCCTTAGTAGAATACTTTGTGTTACATAAACTTCTGCCCAAAGAGAGGTGAGGTGATTTCCGGTCGAACTCGGACTGAGTTAGGTTGCGTTCTAGTTTTTATGACCAAGAAAGCTCGACTTTGCCGGGCCTTCAAATGCATCAACTTTAATCTTTATGAATTAATTCTGTTCCATTGTCCTCTCCAAATTCAATGACATTCTTAAATTAACAATTCAACATCCCCGTAAATCTTATTTCCCCGTGAAATGAAGCGAAGTAGAAAGGAAAAATAAAGGCTGTTTATCGGTCATTACCATCACCACCACTCATCCGTAAAGGTGGTTCACAACTCTTCAGCCTCCCCACGCCACTCCCCCCCAACTAAGAGCATTTTTACCATTCCTTGTGCTATATTCTGTCTATTCACAACCAAATGATCACCCGTTTTACTCATCACTGGATGTGCTGTTTCCACTGCCGGCAACCCAGTACTGTTTAACGACGACCAATATCTTCTCGGGAACGAGGGGCCCATCCTCATGATCCATAATTTTGGCATCCCATCTTATGCCCCCGACAATCTTCCTAACCTTGTTAAGGACATCAACTTCATCCCTGAAGATGACTGTCCCTTCTGGCCGCAAAATGCGATCCATCTCCAAAAGGATGTCTTCCAGTTTGCACCTGCTTAATCCATTTGATAAATGATCAGCACACAAGTGATTGTTAAATGCTTCATGAAACAATGTGGAACCTTAAATGGAACCCTATCCAAAATTAGCTGTTAAATTACAAGAGAATTGGAACATTGGCTCGATTGGAGCTTTCACCATAACTAAAAATCCGTGAGTATTGGTCCTCCTGGGTAAAAATGTTCAAATTTCTATCCAAAACTAGCCCCTTAGCACACGCCTAAGCGTGTGCTAATTGGCTTTTTATTTATTATGTTTATGTATTAGTATTTTTTTCTTGTCAAATATTAGTATTAATTTTATCAAGTAACCACCCAAGTAGTGGGTGCTTTGTTTGTAATCTTCAAAATGATGTAGTTTACTATTTTACCCTTATTTATTAAATTGTTTTGTTTTGAAATTCTTAATTAGGGAGGGGCATTTTTTGCCATTTTGAATGTTTCCCCTTTTTTACCTTCTCACTTTATATATATACTAGCCTCTCTGCACGCAAGCGTGCGTGCGAGAGGCATTTTTGCATCACAGGCGCTACGCGCCCCTAAATGTGTATTGTGTTAGTTTTGTTCCATTGTGGTTGTCAATGTATATGCTTTAGAAAGTATGATACCAAGTTTGGAGGTGAGGAATTGTACACTAACCAATCCACCTTTTCTTTTTTTTTTTTTTTTTTTTTTTGCTTGCTAATTATTATGGTGTCTTTTTTAACCATTTCACTCTCATATAAAAAATAAAAAAATATGCTTAATTATTTAATGTTGTATAGAAAATATGAAATGATCAATATATTTTGTAACATGATGATTAGTGGCTGTATTAAAAGGGTGCACAACAACATTTTTTTTATTATGGTGGACAAAAAGGTATTATGGGCAATATTTGGCGTCATTCGAGCAGGTTGGCAGATCATTTGTTCAATGGTTGTGTGAATGGGATAGTTGATGCGGTTAGAGGAGTGAGTACATAATTATGGGTGTGCCATTTTGGGTTGGGACTGAGATGTTCAACATTAGAGCATGAGCCAGGCTACGTAGTTCCAATTGCTTGAGTTGAAGAAAGGTTGATGAGATAATGTAGTTCCAATTGATTGAGTTGAAGAAAGGTTGATGACATAATGGTGTTACCGTACAATCATCCCATCATTCCAAAGTGATAATGGTGTTATCGCATGCCATATTGTCATATTGCCACATTTGTTGAATAATTTAGGAGCATATATTCCACCCAATTTGCACATATGTGAGTAATCTCTCATACATTTTTTACTATTTTTTCTTTAAAACAACAACGAAGATAAAATGGGAAAACATATACTATTTATAAATAAAAAAATATGAAAATATGATATGTAATTTGATTTCTAAATACATATTGACAACCCTTAATGTCCTTAAATCAAAATGTTTCAGATTCATAAGTTTTCAATCAAAGTTAGAGGCTAGGTAGGGATGAACTCCTAATATATGAAGCAAAGCAAAATATGGACAACATGTACATATGTGAACATAGCGCCTACGTGTGAAACCAAAGCCATGCTTGCCACCCACTTGCTTGCACTTGATGCTTTAGATTTTCATGGTTAATCTGCAAGCAATGATGATAAAATAAGAAGTCTAACTATAATGCACAATCCCAACTATAAAGATTGTAAGCAACTTAACCTAAATACCTTTAAGTTTGACAATTTTCTCATGGCAATACTTTTACTCCAGTTATTTGTAGAATACTGAAAGATAAATATATTTGTCAAGTTTGAGGTAACAAATTGTAACCATATTTACAAAATTAAATAATAAGAAATATTACCTTAATCTTGTACTTCAACCTTGGTACTTTGAGACGGGTGTGATGCTTGTAAAACTGACAAAAAATGCAATTTTATTTATATTTGAAAATTGAATGCAATTTGAATTTATAGTATATTTTTGTATGAAAATAAGAGAAGACTTACCGTATTTAGAAAAGTTGTTTGGCCACTGTTAATCTTTTTTCTGCACCCATAAATTGTTTTATTTTATTTTATAATTTGAGATAATGAATTTGTAGAATGATATAGAGAATGCCAGTAAAAATAAATAGGTAAGAAATGGTGTTGTACCTAATTTGTTGGACTTTATTCCAAATACGTATGATCTGAGGAGTTGTTGAAGGTTTTAATTCTTCCACAGCCTTTTTCATGCGCCACCTATATATTGAAGGTATATATAATGTTAGATTTCTTGTAACAAATTTGTATATAATTTAGGATACATACTGCTCATGCTTCTTCTTTCTCCACTCTTTGAGAATCAGTTGGCTTAGATCAGTAGTTTTTACTCCGACAGATATCTCCCAACCAGGTGTAAAAATAGAGACACGTCTGTTTGAGATATTATCAATAGGTTCCTTCTTCATTTTTTGTGGGTATTCTTGTAAATATCCTAAGAATGAAAACAAATAATTTTTAAAATTACCATAGCACACGTATAGCACATTAAGATAATCAAAAGTGAAACTCATAATCTGACCGAAATTTTAAAAAACACACAATGAAGATTTCAAAGGAAGAAGTTAAAGGAACCCATATGAAGCTAAACTTGAATATTCATACAATTACATATTATGCTTACATGAAAATGTGTAAAATGAGTACAACCATGCAGGAAAAAAAGTGAAAAAAAGAACACCTAGATTAATTTCCTTTTTACGCCTGGGGAGAGGGAGTGGGAGAAGAATGGCAAAGCAAAAAAATGAAAAAATTGAAATAAAGAAGAATGATGACTCGGGTGTTGCTTAATACCCGTTTTATCCTATGTTGGAGTGTGAGAGTCTGTAAAACCAAGCAACAACTGTTGATAGCAGTTATATATATAGATATAGATATATATATATATATATATATCTATATATATAAAGGGAGAAGGCCAGTTTGGTGAAGCATTCAGAAATGCCTATAAAATCCCTTTGTTATCTTCACAATCAAACCTTTAAAAGTTCAAAAAGCTAGGACAAATTGGTAAAAAAAACCATAACCGAACAAAAAAACTGTATTGGAAAAGTGTTGCTTGGTTTTACAAAAAAACTGCTATCAACAGTTGTTGCTTGGTTTTACAGACTCTCACACTCCAACGTAGGATAAAACGGGTATTAAGCAACACCCGAGTCATCATTCTTCTTTATTTCAATTTTTTCATTTTTTTGCTTTGCCATTCTTCTCCCACTCCCTCTCCCCAGGCGTAAAAAGGAAATTAATCTAGGTGTTCTTTTTTTCACTTTTTTTCCTGCATGATTGTACTCATTTTACACATTTTCATGTAAGCATAATATGTAATTGTATGAATATCCAGGTTTAGCTTCATATGGGTTCCTTTAACTTCTTCCCTTGAAATCTTCATTGTGTGTTTTTTAAAATTTCGGTCATATTATGAGTTTCACTTTTGATTATCTTAATGTGCTATACGTGTGCTATGGTAATTTTAAAAATTATTTGTTTTCATTCTTAGGATATTTACAAGAATACCCACAAAAAATGAAGAAGGAACCTATTGATAATATCTCAAACAGACGTGTCTCTATTTTTACACCTGGTTGGGAGATATCTGTCGGAGTAAAAACTACTGATCTAAGCCAACTGATTCTCAAAGACTGGAAAAAGAAAAAGCATGAGCAGTATGTATCCTAAATTATATACAAATTTGTTACAAGAAATCTAACATTATATATACCTTCAATATATAGGTGGTGCATGAAAAAGGCTGTGGAAGAATTAAAACCTTCAACAACTCCTCAGATCATACGTATTTGGAATAAAGTCCAACAAATTAGGTACAACACCATTTCTTACCTATTTATTTTTACTGGCATTCTCTATATCATTCTACAAATTAATTATCTCAAATTATAAAATAAAATAAAACAATTTATGGGTGCAGAAAAAAGATTAACAGTGGCCAAACAACTTTTCTAAATACGGTAAGTCTTCCCTTATTTTCATACAAAAATATACTATAAATTCAAATTGCATTCAATTTTCAAATATAAATAAAATTGCATTTTTTGTCAGTTTTACAAGCATCACACCCGTCTCAAAATACAAAGGTTGAAGTACAAGATTAAGGTAATATTTCTTATTATTTAATTTTGTAAATATGGTTACAATTTGTTACCTCAAACTTGACAAATATATTTATCTTTCAGTATTCTACAAGTAACTGGAGTAAAAGTATTGCCATGAGAAAATTGTCAAACTTAAAGGTATTTAGGTTAAGTTGCTTACAATCTTTATAGTTGGGATTGTGCATTATAGTTAGACTTCTTATTTTATCATCATTGCTTGCAGATTAACCATGAAAATCTAAAGCATCAAGTGCAAGCAAGTGGGTGGCAAGCATGGCTTTGGTTTCACACGTAGGCGCTATGTTCACATATGTACATGTTGTCCATATTTTGCTTTGCTTCATATATTAGGAGTTCATCCCTACCTAGCCTCTAACTTTGATTGAAAACTTATGAATCTGAAACATTTTGATTTAAGGACATTAAGGGTTGTCAATATGTATTTAGAAATCAAATTACATGTCATATTTTCATATTTTTTTATTTATAAATAGTATATGTTTTCCCATTTTATCTTCGTTGTTGTTTTAAAGAAAAAATAGTAAAAAATGTATGAGAGATTACTCACATATGTGCAAATTGAATGGAATATATGCTCCTAAATTATTCAACAAATGTGGCAATATGACAATATGGCATGCGATAACACCATTATCACTTTGGAATGATGGGATGATTGTACGGTAACACCATTATCTCATCAACCTTTCTTCAACTCAAGCAATTGGAACTACGTAGCCTGGCTCATGCTCTAATGTTGAACATCTCAGTCCCAACCCAAAATGGCACACCCATAATTATGTACTCACTCCTCTAACCGCATCAACTATCCCATTCACACAACCATTGAACAAATGATCTGCCAACCTGCTCGAATGACGCCAAATATTGCCCATAATACCTTTTTGTCCACCATAATAAAAAAAATGTTGTTGTGCACCCTTTTAATACAGCCACTAATCATCATGTTACAAAATATATTGATCATTTCATATTTTCTATACAACATTAAATAATTAAGCATATTTTTTTATTTTTTATATGAGAGTGAAATGGTTAAAAAAGACACCATAATAATTAGCAAGCAAAAACAAAAAAAAAAAAAAAAAAAGGTGGATTGGTTAGTGTACAATCCCTCACCTCCAAACTTGGTATCATACTTTCTAAAGCATATACATTGACAACCACAATGGAACAAAACTAACACAACACACATAACTAACACAACACACATTTAGGGGCGCGATGCGCCCGTGATGCAAAAATGCCTCTCACACGCACGTTAGTGCGTGCAGAGAGGCTAGTGTGTGTGTATATATATATATATATATATATATATATATATAGATAAAAGGTTGTAAATGGAAAATAAGGGACAGAAGTTCGTAAGGAGGAGTTACCGGAAAAGCACCATTGAACCACTATGAGACCAGTTCCAAGGACTAATACTTACGGATTTTCAATTCAGGGACTGAAGTTCAAGACCAATTATCTCAATTTAGAATAAAACAGAAAAGAGTGACTGTATTACTGTAAGTTAGAGAAAATTGGTAAACTACATTACTTTTGTTATTAATATTAGATTAGATTTATGCATGAAAAAACTTTCTGTCATTAAGGAAGCCCGTAATTGCTTAACTTGGTATATTTTCACTTTTATCACTAAAAATCCACCATTGTTCAAACAGTCCTACAGAAAATTACTTAAAGAGTTCTTGGATTTAGTGAATCAAAGATTGTTCCATCTTGATGTTCACCAAACTATACACATTTGTACAAATGAGGTCTAAAATATGAAGGTTTTAGAAATCTTAACAACAAGAAATTGCATCTCATGATTTAATTGCTATCTCATAAAATAATCTAATGGTGTGAACACTATGTATGATATAGGCACACAGATACACAGGAAGAAGATGATGAGGCTTACTCGTTCTTGTACAAGCTGAAAACACCGCTAGTATGAATAAGGTCATATGACCTTGGGTACGTAGAAAAGCCTTCACACCTGAAACAAGTTTCTTTTTTTGGTCATGACATGGACTAGTAACTAGAAAATATGTATATGCTACCTAGATCTCAGCACTGTAAATTATAATCGAGGAAAAACTGAAAGTCTTCATAGGAAAAGCATAAAGGTTAATGAGTCCTGAAGGACACTCATACACTTCGGTAAACACTGATGTGCTTGTGTTTGTGTTTGTGTGTGTGTGTTTGTGTGAGAGAGAGAGAGAGAGAGAGGACATACCAGTCATGATATATGCCGATTAGACCTCTCTCATAAATAACACCTAAAGTATTCTTAGCAATTGTAGGCACAACATTCATAACCCACAATTTTCGTGATTCAAGGGCTGCTGCAAATCCTCCAAGGCCTGCATTCATATCCATCACATTCCAATATCTTGTAGTGCCAATCAATCTGTTGATTCTTTTGTAAACATTTACATGCTTTTTCCAAAGTTTATTGTCCTCTTGGTAAGATTCAGTTGTAAACCCCACAACTAAACCGTTAGCTATTCGAGGAGGGACTGCATAAAGCCTTGCAGGAAACTTCAACTCCCCTACTGCTACTTCATTTGCGTTGGTTACCTCAGGAGAAGGGGTTACACATGTGTCCATTTTCTTGTACCTGGAACAGACCACATAAAAGTAACAATTAGGATAGCTGTAACAAAGTAAAAAAGAGAAAAATGTTCACTTTAACAAATGGAATGTTAAGTTATACAATCATTCCGCTTATATCAATGAATTTTGGCTAACAGTCTAATACTGAACAAGCAGACCAAACAATGCAAACATGTGTAGCAGCAGAGCACCCGTACATAGGATTTGGGAATGTGGGATATGCAGCATGCCAATTCAACTACTTCTGCTTGTAAAACTTGTGTTATATTTAGCATTTTCCTAAATAAGTAAACCAAATTGCTGGACAAAAGTTACCCAATATCATACAACTTGAGATTTTCAAAAATGTTTTTCTTGCGCTATCCTGTCATCTGCTGCAAAGGCATGGGGCTCTTTCCCCTAACTGATTCTGTACCACTTCAGGAAGATCGACCAAACCTCAAATTTAGTGGGAGGTTGACTTATCGATGACTATAGATTATGTATATACATGAATAGGGAAGATTTAAAACAACTAAACAAGGTTAAAAAAATGGGTTATGAAATACCAAAGTTAAATCACGAGCAACCATAGTGCCTGGAGACACACCAGACATCATCAGTATCCTCTGTCTGGCATACATCGACAGACTTTCTCCTGCAGGATTTTGTATTAACTTTTTTTTTTCCAGATAGCCATATCTCCTTTCTCATACTTTTTCTCCCAGCAAAGACTTTCAGCTAGTGCTTCAATCTGTTTTTGCTCTGCCTGCACGTCCTCCTTAGACCGCTTCCATGTTTTGTAGTAGGTCTTCCAATTAATTGGAGGTCCAGACAATATCCAGTATCCACCAGGTCTAAGGACCCAATCAACTTCTTTTAGGTACATTCCATCTACACGAAGGCATTCATATTTGAATCATAAAATTTCACCATATTCAGTAAATAAACTATTTTTGCATGTTAAAACATGGAAAACAAAGTAGAATATGGAGCTCCAATGAGAATCCCTCTTTTATATAGAAGTCAACTGGGGGGAATTCATCAAACAAGAGAATTGGGAAGGGGAAATTTAGCAGGGTTGGTAACTAAATTAACTGCCAGACATGTAAGAGTTTCAGGAAAATGGTTAACTTTGCAAATCAGTAATTGCTTATACAAATAGAAATCAAGTATAAATGCTAAGCAATTTAGATATGTTTTCCAACTTTTTACATCTTCTTTTGAGTTTGTAATTTCAACTATATTTTATCAGTATATAATACAAAAAGATATGAAATATGATTGCTCAAGCTTAATGTTGGTTACTCCAAGATCTTACCATTTGCAGTCCATGGAATTAAACACCGAGAGCACTGGGCCATATCAAAGGCCCTAGCTGGGTATGGAAGACGAATCGATCCAAGCACACCAATAACAGCAGGTACTCCTCGCTCCATGCAAACTGCACTTGGGCTTCATGATTGTCCCGCGGTGCAAAGGACATGGCTAATACATTTCTCTTCAATAAGTATGCACCCCAACTTGCAACCTGGGTTATGCTTGGCCTCATTAGTACAGAACCACAACCAAACGAAAAAACTGACTCTCTGTGAACATGTACACTATTATAGATCACTGCTCATGCACATAAATCATCTAGTCACAAGTATATAGGCACTGATTGAATGTGCATTTGCAGTCAGTATATGCATAGTGCTTTTTTAAATGACAGGTTGGTCGGAAGTGAAAGGTTCTTCAATATTCTCTGGAGGATGAAAAGCTAATGCTCTCGTCAGTCTTGGATTGACTGAAGGAAGGTAAAAAGCTCAAACTGAATCCAATTGATAGAATCGCAGAGTGGAAAAATTAATGTAGACATGCATATGCAATAATAAAAGCACAAAAATAGTTTAGAAAACAAACATACTCCACAACCGGTATCCAATGCTGTCCTGACAGAGCCATCTGCAATCGGACTAACTGATGCAAGTTCATCAATATATGCATCTGCGCCCTGGGGGAACATTGTTCCTCCACCTGGAAATTTGAAAACATTTCCCTGAAATTGCACCCAGTTCTGTACAGCTTTCTCAACTGTGAGGCTTTTATAAGGTACATTGGCATAGTGGACATAGTCACGGCCTTTAGGCCAGGGGAATGGAGTCATATACCCTTCCCATGCTGGAATAAGACAACGCAATTGTTCCTCTTCTGGTGGACAATGTCTTTCCCTGTATATCATATTTTCCCTAGGGAATTTCATTGCTCCGTCTTGTTCTTGACAAGGGGTATAATCAGCATATTTCACATCACAAGGTTTGAAATCTTTGGCTTTAGGTTCAGAAGGTTCAACTATCTCCACAACATTGTGATGAGTTTCAAAGTTCAAATCAGAGTTCAACTCAGCAAAGACATTGCAATCTTTCTGCTTGGTAACTTGAAATGCTATCTTATCTCCTTTTCCAAAACCGCTCTTTTGCCATGCTCCAAGAAGGTAGAAGAAACAACAAAGAGAAATCACAACAAATATAGATAATGTGCTTCTTGTTCTGTTTCCTGAAGAATTATGCTTGGGGCCCATGATATTCTTGCAATAACTCCCTCAAACCTGCACAATTAATAGAAAATTGGGAGGCAGGTATTTGAAGTAAATGATCAATGGTTGACAAGTTGAAGCCAAGCACTACCAAAATGTAATGAAGGGCAAATTCATGAACAGTATTAAGTAGGTAGCTATTTATCGAAGAATCTAATACGCATGCATATTAAAATTTTAATAAAAATAACTCGACTATTTGTTCCGAAGTAAGTACCGTTAATTTTCTCTAGCTAAAGTTGTAGTCAATATGCATCAGACTTTCAATTCGAAAGGCTTTTGGTATAAATGGCCTACACAACGATAACTTGTTGCTCATTCTACATTTAGCCAATCTTGAAAATACAAATTCCAAGTGTATACATAGATGTGTGTGTGTGTGTGTGTGTGTGTGTATCTTCACATACGAACCAAGAAGTAGTTAATTAACATAAAACATCCTGGATGATAGTATAAAAAATCCAGATGGCACCACTGTACAAAGTTTGAGACACGAGAAAGACGATGGATTCCCAAATACGGTACGTTTCTAAGGGCAACTATGCATACATTGTTATGGTTAACTAGTTAAGGACTTGCAGAAATCAGCAGTAACTAGATTTGCTGAAAAGAGTGTGAGTTTGCATTTTGCAATCACAATATGATTAAATGGAGTAACGAATAAGTGGGATCAAACCCATACATTTGCCACCAGTTAATTTAAACTTAAGGGCATTGCTGTTTCAAAGTATGTCATAGGATTAAATTCCCATCAGTAAACAAATTCTATCATCATCATTAAACCTATTGCCTCAAATGGAGCTCACCTTTTGGATCTTTAAATTTTGAATCCTTTTCACCTAAAAGAAAACTTTGGATCTTACTCAAAAAAGACAACAACTTTGGATATGAATGCAAGAAGAACAAACAACGAAATTTAAATCTGAAAACTTTTAAGCCAAAAACAGATACACTGTTTTTCCAGAGACCCCCAGAAAAAGCAAGTGCAAGCACAGATCAAATTGGTTACCTGAAAATTGGTGAGAAAGCTGTGTGAGAGCTGCAGAGAGATGAGTTCTCAAATGGGTTTATTGTATTTGAACTTCTCTCTCGCTCTGCATCCCCCACAGTGGTAGTGAATGCTAGTGAGTAGTGAGAGAATCTGCCGAAGCTAGAGAGAGAGAGAGAGAGAGTGGGAGAGAATTTTGGAGGAGATTATATATAATTAGGAAGAAGAGGAAGAAGAGGAGAGGTGGTGGCAAATCAGTGGCATTCTATACGAGTACAAATTTGATGACTTTTTTTGTTTTTTTTTTTTTTTGAACACCCAAATTTGATGACTTTGGTCTTCAACTCCTGGTGGAAATGGAATTACCTGTTGAGTTATCCGCCGACACAGAGGAGTAATTCACTACTCTCAGAGCACGCGCTGTTAATTAATCTTTTCCCCTTTATAAAAATAAAAATAAAAATAAAAAAAGGACAACTGATAAAGATAGATCTAATTTTCAGTATGTAGTGAATAGTAACTGTGCATTTCCGCTCTTAAACTAAAAAGCTAAATAATTCGTATTAAATATTAGTATTTTTTATTTTATAAAATAATAAAAAAATAACTTATATTTTTATTTCTAGATAATAATTAAAGATTAGTTGAAAGTATTGAAAATATTGAAATGTAGGGTAAACCGGAAAAACATGGTTAGATATTTATAGAAAAAAATATATAATTTTTATTTTTTAATTAGTTTTTAATATTTTTTATAATTTTAATAATTTAAATTGTGGCTAACTATCGTGATGACATGAACCTTGCATCACATAGGTAGGTCGTTGAACCAGACGATTATTGTTTGACTTCTCCATTAGGCTTGCCTTAAACTCTTATTTTTATCTTATGCTTGTGTTTTCTACTTTATTTGGAAGTCATTCTTGAAAGACACAAAAAACCAACATGATGTTGTACCCAAGCTAGGCTAAATAGTATATTTTGTGTTTTTCATTATTTATTCTTTTAAAACAACATACCAAAAGCATTTTACAATGGTTTTGGTTCCATAAAATGAACAACAGTTTTTCAAGACGTTACCAAACAAACTCTAATTTTCTTTTATACAAGCAATTTCGAAGAGGAGCATTCAAATGCAGAAACCAATGTAACCCAAGATTTTAAGAGACAACAAAAGTGAATTTCTACAACACAAGAGCCATATGGCTCGTTTGGTGGGTTGGATGTGATGAGCCTTAGGGATTGGGTTAGCAGAGATTGGTTACGTTTAATAAGACATGACTTGTAAACCTGTATAAAGATTTAGATAACCCACTCTATTATAGATTCATAATCCACCCCTTAAAAAACAAACGAAATACCAATATGATGTTGTTCCCAAGCTAGGCTAAATATTGTATTTTGTTTTTTCATTATTTATCCTTTTAAAAGAACATACCAGAAGCATTTTACAATTGTTTTGTATCCATAAAATGGTCGTTACCAAACAAGCTCTTGTTTTCTTCTATTCAAGTAATTTTGAAGAGGAGTATTCAGATGCACAATCTAATGTAACCCAAGATTTAAAAGACTGCAAAGTGAATTTCTACAACACTAGAGTCTCTAAAGGCTCATTTGATGAATTGGATGTGATTGGGTCTTAGAGATAGGATTGAATTAGTAGATATTGGTCACACTTTGCAAGACAAGATTTGTAACTTGTATATATGGATAGACTAGATAACCCACTCTATTGTAGGGATGGGTTCAAAAAACCAAAAACCAAAAAATCGAACCAAACGCCAAACCAAAACCTAAAAAAAGCCAAACCGAAAAAAATCAAACCAAACCGACATGTTTTGGTTTGGTTTCAGTTTTAGTAGTTCAAAAACCAAACCAAACCGAATTAAATATAATTACTTTTATTTATGTTGGATATTTATTTTTTAAGCCCAATTTCAAATCAATCGTTAATATAGTTTTAGTCCCAAATATGACGAATAGAAGTCCCAGGACCAACTTGGTGGTTGTGGTGTTAACAAAAATCCAACCCAACAGGCTACCAGAGACAGGCAGAGACAGAGAAGAAGAGGGATTGAGAGCTCAGAGACTAAATCAGAGGTATTTTAGAATACCTCATTTTGCTGAAAGATTCCATATGCATGTTTCCTTGGTGGATCATCATCATCACAGCCACCATCTCAATGTACACCCGCATCTTCCTTGTGAATTTTCAAATTAAAAAATATGTATTTTAAATTTTTATGAAAGAAGAAGGAAGAAAAAAAAAAAAAACCGAACTAAGCCAAAATTAAACGAACCAAAGAAAAACCGAAAAAAAAAATAAACCAAAATTTCGGTTCAATTTCAGTTTCGACAAATTTTATCATCATCATTAAACCTATTGAAACAGAATTCATCTTGTCTAGTCATGTCCTTCCACATTTTGACACAACTATACTACACTCAAGTTCATTTTAACTAATCACAACTTATCCCAATTGGGCCACCAGACATATCCTAAGGGTCTCGTTTGGTGGGTTGGATGAAATAGGACATTGGAAGTATCTTTGAATTGGCAGAGATTGATTACAGTTGATAAGACATAACTTGTATCTTGTGTATAAAAATAGGTTAGATAACTCATCTGCCTACCAAACATGCCCTAAATGTAAAGTGAGTCCTACCTAGCCAGCCATTATGAACAACATTCTACAAGAAGAAGTAGGTGCCTCATCAAAACCTCGTTAGGTTAGCAAAAACCCACTATGAATTTGTTTTTTTTTTTTTTTTTTTTGTTCTTTTGCTTTAAACTATGACCTTGTCTTATACGTGTGTTTTCTACTTTATTTGGAAGTCATTCTTGAAAAACACACAAATACCAATATCATGTTGCACCCAAACTAGGCTAAATATTGTATTTTGTGTTTTTCATTCTTATTCTTTTAAAACAAGGGAGTTTTAATAAAATTGACATTTTACTGTTTATTTTTAATCAAAATGACATTTCAGGTATGAAAAGTCCATATTGGGTTAAGCTCTTTTTTTTTTATTTACTCTTATGTCATTATTTCATTATTGGAGCGGGGTCCACAATGATGTTGACATTTCTATCTGATCAAAATACATTATTTTGCATGATGTTATTCAACTTATGTTAATTTGCTGCCAGCTCTTCATGCTTCCATCATGTTGTCAATGTTATGCAGTTCTTCTTCTGTCAAATTGTTCCAATATTGTTCATCACCTTCTACTAGCTTTGCATCTCTTTCTCTATCTTCTTTCACCTTGTTGTACATGTTTACTGTTTCTCCTTTGAAAATTTGAGGTTTCCAGTAAGGCTGATGATTGATTTTTGTCTTACTGTAAATATACATTTCTTCTTCTTCTTCTACTACTAGTAACATGTCATACCTAAAATCTTCAAACTCATCTAAGGCTAACATTTGGATCCCTTGAAATTTTAGAATATTTTTGTATGAAGGAGTCTACCTATGTGGGGGATATAGAGGATATTCTAAAGGATTCTTCCTTAATCATGGCTATATGCATAGCTTTCTCCTTCTGCACATGTTCATACTAATTTGGAGGACTACTAATAAAACTTATGCAAATTTGTTTCCACTGTTCTAGATAATCTTCTGCTAATTTTATAAGCTTTTCAGGAAATTATTCTAGTTGGGAAATATGATCAATGAATATTTTATCAAGATAGTCAAACTCTAATAGTAAGGCTGGGGTAACTTCTACCACATTATGCTTTTTTTTATACTCATAACTAAAATGTCATGGTCTATAATCTTTCATATTAATCCTGACCACAGCTATACTAACTTCTGGTTTACAAATACAACTCTCTATACTATCACAAAGATATGGTAGATACATCTTTGTAATAATATTCATCCCTGGTTTTGGGATCAAAGATGGACTGATACAAAGCACATTATAATTGTAATTGTAACTCTTTCATGGATTGTGATGCTCTTCTCAGGATCTCATTTTGCATATCTGGTGCCATTATTCTTAATTTTGCTTTTGAAATTTCTTCTAATAGGATATCATATAATGTTAAGTCTAAAGATATATTCCTAAGAAAACTTTCATATCTCTCTTGTTTTTCTTTATCACTCAAATACTGATGTTGTTCCATTTCAATATCTTCTTCTAAGAGCTCAATCTTAATTTCTTTCTCTGCATTGGGCTCATTAGCCTTTATTGTTATGGGTTCAATAACCTCTTTTGCTTTATTCTTATGTTGATCAGGTTCTAAACCTATTTTTAATTCTCTTTTTAGGGTGTCACTTGCCTTATGCTGCATTCTAACAGTTTGGAGTTCTTGATTCATTTTTGTAAACTTACTAAGTAATGACTCATGGTCTCTAGAAATGACTTGAAAGTTGTGCTCAAGAGAATGAATCTGATGCTGGCTTTGATGGAAATTAAAATTAAAGTTATCAAACTCTTGTTCTAAGGCTCTGATTAGTTTTTCATGGCCTAACCTTATGCTTGGCTGTTTGATTTGGATATTCCAAAAATTATCTAAGAGAACTTGTTGCCTTTCAGGGAGTTTTGGTACCATTGGCTTATACCTTAGAGTTAGATTTCTGATTCCTTCAACAAGAGTACCATTAAAGTTGAAAGTAATTAATGATGGTGATGTTGGTCTGCTTATGCTATTTTGGAATCCACTAAATGGTGGAGTTCCATAGTGCATCATTATGCTATTGAAATGTGCTCTTCTGCCTTGTGATATTGTGCTATTTGAGGATGATGGTCCACAATATTCCATTCCTGTTCAACGAATTAATCTTGATAAGATATCATCTAATGTATTGTCACTACCTTTTATATGTTCAAAAATTGGTTTAAAACCATTTTCTATAATTGAATCAATAAAATTAGCCCATCTTCGGGCTGCCTGTTTATTAGCATGTATCTTATTATAAGGAGAAACTATATTTTAACAATCTGTTCTAATCGTAAATACTTCATTATGTAAGAATAAAGAGAAGGCTTCAAGTGAGTTAATTATTCCTAAAAGTTCTAAATCAGTTGATGGTAATCTTAACTGTACATCACTAAATTTTCCTGATGAATATCTATAAACTTGTTCTTTAAACTTTGGTGACACCTTATGTTTTTTCTGATATAATATACATGCCCATCCTAATGATGAAACATCTGTTTCAACTATTTTGTAACTAACATCTAATGCTAATGTTAATAGCTTAAGTTGAGTAATTTCTTCCTTTATATTTTGAACTAATTCAATATCTTCACTATTAAAATATTTTTGTCC